ATAAGGAATGCAACGGGTCTACTTACAAAAAGTACAATACATATTCAGAAAGAAACGTGGTGGTAGAATAAGGACGTGCAGGCGACCGTACGACAGAAGAAGGAACTATATAATAGGCATGAAGACAGAGTAAAATATTCTAGAACGAATAGGGAGTGAAGCAAAGTCTACAGCGTGCAAGAGCTTATGCAACAGACTGGTAACGAACGAAGGACATAAAGATATTACTGCACAGCAAAAACGAGAGAAAGAAGAACACGAGACGTCGGTAAAGTGAAGTGCACAAAAAAAGAAAGCGTAGGCATTTCCAAAGCTAAATGAAAACCACCTCGCAGATGCCGCAGAAGAGATCTCACAAAACCATGGTCTAATCGGATAGATCTCATTTGAGGAAGTGGAACAAGCTTTGAACCGAATGAAAGAAAGCACGGAAGGATTGGGGTAAGAAGGCGTGGATTGGCTCTGCGGGCTATTCAGCAAAATTACTGAGTGTGAGAAAATGCCAGAATCATGGGGGTAGAGTATTTTGATGCCAATGCACAGAATTAAAAGGGGTATGCTCGCCTGTGAAAACTACCGGAGAATTAAACTGCTGAGTCACACCACGAAGATATATGAGAGGGAACTGAACGAAAGACTGAGGAAGGAGGTAGACATCACTAAGAACCAATTTGGCTTTATGCCAAGCAGATCATCCACGGATGCTACCTTCGGTCTACGAACAGTCTTCGAAACACACAAAGAAGGCAGAGAGGACATTCGTATCGTGTTCTAGACCTGGAGAAAGCCTTTGACCGAATCTTGAGGGAAGCGATCTGGTGGAGCATGAGAAAAAAGCTTGTACGAGAAAAATGTCAGGCTTAACAAAGACATGTACGACAGAGTGACAACGATAGTTCGAAGTACATGCAGTGAAACGGAAGAGTTCCCTGTACGGGTAGAAGTCTACCAAGGATCTGCACTGAGGCTATTTTTGTTCTTGATGCTAACAGACGCGACAAATAAAAATCTTCGGGAAGCAGCCCTTTACTGCATGTTCCATGTATATGACATTATGTTGTGCAGCGAAAGCAGAGAAGAAGTAGAAGCAGAAACCGAGGCAAGATGAACAGAGCATACGAATAACGCCTTCGGTTAAGCAAAGTGAAGTTATAATATATTGCAGGCTATTTCAGTGAAGTGAAGAGATTCATAACCGTCAAGCGAGTCAAAGTAGCTGAGGCATGGTGCCTCAAACCCAAGACTTCAGCAACCTTGGTTCCATCCTCAAGATAATGTGGACGTCAACAGCGAGGTAAGAAATTGGTAAGAAATGGCTTGGATCAAGTGGAAAGAAGTGATTGGTGTACTGTTCGACAAGAAGATGCACGTTAGACAAAAAGGGAAGGTATACAGAACGATAGTAAGACCGATGCTTCTGCACGGAGCGGAATGTTTGGCTACACTGAAGAGACATGAGCGACAACCGAACTCGATAGAAATGCGAATGCTCAGATGGATGTGTGGTGTCAGCATAAAGGGCTACATTGAAACAGCTCCATAAGAAGCACTCTAGGCGAAGCACTAATTTCAGAAAAGCAGTCTCCGTTGGTTCGGTCACGTGAAATGAAGAGCAATCGAGTACGTTGGCAATGTAGCCCAAGCAGTGGTACTGCAAGAGAAGAAAAGAAGGGTATGACCAAATAAAAAATTTCGTTAAGAACAATATGAAACTGGGAGAAGTCCCGGAAGATGCAATCAATGACAGAAAGTTGACTGGATTCGCAGGCCTCTGTTAAAAGGAAGATACTGCGGAAAAAGTTTTTTTTACCATATCGACAAGTGTAAAACAACAATTAATGCCATTATCTCTTTAGAATAATGAATATGATGAAGAAAATTCAATACGGTATCGATAGCTCCCCTAAAACGTGATGGTTCCATTACTGATAAGTTCAATGAGGCCACTCCTTCAATCATTTGGTTCATTGCAGAATTCGTTGAAATCTTCAAACTAAAGTCTTATTTCATTAAGCGTCAATAATCAGATTCACTTTGACTGTTTGTGGTGACTGCGCTGACAAAGAAACATTGCTCATCAATGGTACTGGCACTTGTTAACCTGTCAACCTGATTTCATTCGCCTTTGTTCAGCCAAATTCGGAGATGTGATCGTACGTTCGATCCAATGCATTGTACTGAAGTGCCATCGATCCGTGGCCATCTAAAATAGTACCCCTAAGCGACTATATCAAAGCGGTGATGTACTTGCGCAGAGCTGATTAGATGTCAGGATGTGGAATGCTATGATTGTCGGCTGAATTTGAAAGCTACTACGTGGCAGCTACCTCAAGACAACAGGATACGTTTTGTCTATATATTTGCATACGGATTATGGTAAATTTAATTGTTGCTCTAATTTGCCCTTCTCCAGCCTAAATCACAGATGCGATCCTGTGTCAAATAGGGTGCAAGTGTTCAAATATCATGGAGCTGAAATTTGCTCAAATGATCGACGTAGACAAGTAGAAGCAAACGGGTAAAATTGTTGTTAATCCGTAAATCCAGTATCAGACAGTGAAACGTGAAGGTAGGATCATTTGTGTATACATTAAAATACAACCTCACAAGCATATGTCGAGACTTTAAGCTAATAACGATAAGACAACGGCATAATCAGCTACAATGAAGCGCCAAGAAGCAAATTATGAATCGTCAATTCAGCAGACATAGAGGCAGGTTATTTTTATTCAGACGATTGGGAATACAACAATCAGATGGAATGTTTCGAATTTAGCAAGTTTTTTGACAGTGCTGCTGTCGCAATCTTGGAGGAACTGTCTTTATTCAAGCTGAAGCAAGAATAAACACCTAAAGTTATTCATGTTTTACTTGTTTAATCCAACGCAGGGTATGGGCTTCAGAAAATTATTTCTCTGGTAATGCAAATTTTGGTACGTTGTGCAAGACGGATAACGAGCGCAGTTTCTTAGAAACGATGGTGTTCAGCGAGACATGGAATAAAATGGCTAATTAATTTAGAATGTGTATTTTCCCCGTTTCAATCCGGTACCATTATTTTTAATGTAATATAATTAATTTAATTTGTAACGGTATAATGAATAGTGGGATAAAGCATATTTATGTAATTCTGTAACGTCATATAATTAATAACATTTTATCTGTATCGTGCGCTATACATGCAGTTTCCATATAGGCGGAACCGTAGAACAGACATGAAGTAAAGGCTACAACTTTACGGTAAGACAAAAAAGATCTTTAATATGTAAGGGCCTGCAAATCAAAGTGCAGATGTGGACAGACTGTATTTCCCGCGTAGAGAAGGAGAATCAGGCTTCCTAGTACCACTGATGCACTGGATTTTGGGGCGCGGCAGTGAACAGTAAGGCACTGAGGGTCACAAGTTATTGCAAACTCTGCATACTATAACAGGAAGCATAAAGGAATGAAGGAGATTGCAGATTGCTCAATACAACTTCAGGGGCAGCATATTCGCAAGTTTACTGATGGCATGCATGTTTGTCATAGCTGACCATTAAAAAGCGGATGTTATGAATGAACCGTTGTTATCTTCTAATCTCTGCCAAGGACCAAATACATAACACAAACCTCCATGAAGCCAAAGTTCAACAGCCGCAGTTGGTAAAGCAACAGGAGAGACCGTGATCCGTATGATTGTTGGCTTCGAAACGCTTATGAATTGAGGGTACAAAGAGGGTGCAACATCGCTGCAGTAACATGCTGGAAGATCGCTATGAGGCAAACAAGTGTAATCTCAGCTTATGTCTAGTTCTGCTGTTATTCGCTGTTCCTTTCATGGCTAGGGGACAGTAAAAATCTTCTGCAACGCGTTCCCTGTTTCAAAGATGATGATTAGAAAGTACGATCATCAACACAGCAGTGTCAATTGATGATTTTTTAATCATTAACCCCATGCATTCCGTTTCAAAATAAATTTTTAAATAAATTTATCATTTTATCATCATGACGGTTGTGATCA